TGTTGATGTTGAGATCTTCATGGTCAAGTTGCTGCAAAAAAACACAGCTGAGAGAAGAAGAAGAAGAAGAACCCACAAGGAATGGACATTGGATCGGTGGAAATCTAGACTTTTGTCTGCTGAGTCCTAATTACAGATTTTTGGATCCGATCTCTGTCTTTGTGCGACGCAGATGAAGCTAACGGATGGTCTCTGCATGTGTGGTTCCCTCTGCGAAGCTTCGAGGAGGAGCTGCGATTCCTGGTGGGCGGAGCTTCGCTGGTGACACTTTTGGACATTTATTCATAATTCAAAGGCAACACTTAACCAGCTTGGCTCCCACGACATTCTGCAGCACCTCGCCGTCCCATCTGGTTTGAGCTCAGTGGGAGCAGATGTAGTTTTTGAACAGGAGCGACGAGCCAAAGCACACCTCAAGCCTCTATGAGGGGGGCGGGAGGGCGTTTGACCGAGGAGGAGAATAATGAAGTGCTGCATCAGACGACCTGGGCTCCGCATCCATCCGACCTTAATACAATTGAGATGGTTTGGGTCGACTTGGGGGCGCGGAGTGAAGGAGAAGCAGCCAACAAATGCTCGGCGTATGTGTGAATTTCTTCGAGACTGTTGGAAAAGCTCCAGGTGACGACCTCATGAAGCCGGCTGAGAGAATGCCAAGAAAGCTGTTATCGGTGCAAAAGTTGGCTTCTTTAAAGAATCAAAAATGCAATTTGTTCCCACTTTTTTTTTTTTTTGCTTACTCCATATGTGTAAGTTTGCAGTTTCAGTATTAACAAGAAACTGAATGAGGTGTTTCACTGGTGCTCAGGTGATACTTGAGACATTTTCAACACAGAAAAATCCAAAAATGGCTGCAAAATGCTTCAGTTTTAGCATTTTCTGCAACTACAAACGCTTAATACACACATCACATAGCGTGCAATGTCACCAGCAGCACACCCTGCTTCATTCGTTAGATTAATTTCCGTACAAACCCCTGAAATCCTCTGCAGGAAACCTCTTCACTCTCGTTGCCTTTGCAGCTTCCATAAATCATACAATGTTTACTTTCTGACATGCCGTGTACTGTTAAGTTGCTCTGTCCAGTCCCAACCCAATAAAGCCAGAAGCACTGGGGAATGGCAGCTCACGTAATGAGAAGCACACTATTGGTCTGTATCATTTCTTCACATTAGGTGGAAGCGGCCACGGACTCGGAATCCGAAAGCAAAAGCTCGAGGGAGTACCATTCTGTTGGGATCCAGGTAGAGGATAACAAGAAAGGGTGAGTTAATGGTCTCTGGGAGTTTAACCTCATTACAACAATTCAATCTTTCGGTGTTTGATCTCACTATTACAAACAATATCCCCGTCGTCGAGGCCGGCGTTTGTCATCCCGGCGTGTGTACATTCATCCACGTCTTGTATCCGTTTTCCCCTCAGACAGGGAAGGTTCAAACGCTCCAACAGCGTGACTGCAGCCGTGCAGGCCGACCTGGAGCTGGAGGGTTTCCCCACCATGGAGGACAAGGGCCTGCAGTTCGGCGGGGGCTTCCAGCGTCACTCAGAGCCCAGCACGCCGACCCAGTACGGGGCGGTGCGGACCGTACGCACCCAGGGCCTCTTCAGCTACCGCGAGGATTACCGTACCCCCGCCGAACCCCCGAGCCCCAGGGAGACCACCAGCGAAACCACCTGGCAGCTAGAACCCCCGTCCCCGCGGGACAGCGCGGTCTCGGCGGGGGAGTCGGGGCGGGTGTCTCCATCCCTGCGGAGGGACGGGAGCTGGTTCATGCAACTGCTCCACACCGAGACCAAGAGGATGGAGGGCTGGTGCAAGGAGATGGAGGCGGAGGCCGAAGAGAACGACCTGTCGGAGGACAGTGAGTGTCCGACCCGAGTCCGCGCAGCCGTAATCAACAGCTGTGTCTTTAATGCTGAATGTCTAAAACTGTGTGTGTGATGCTCGATGTGCTGTGTGTGTGTGTTTCAGTTTTAGGCAAAATCCGAAGTGCTGTGGGAAGCGCTCAGCTGCTCATGTCCCAGAAATTCCAGCAATTCTACTGGCTGTGTCAGCAAAACCTGGTGAGAGATGATTATAAATGAGGGACCCTGAGTCTTTAGTCAGCTCTATGTACAGTCTGCACGAGTATCCATGACTGATAAAGCATCACACCGAAAAAGGCTGGAAGGGAGTTTAACAGGAACAGATGTGGGACAGGGCCACCACTTTGTCTAGAAATGAGGGTCAGATTTGGTTATTTTCAAAGCAACATTTGAATTATTTACCATCACATGTAGGTCACACTGAGTTCAGCGCGTATTCAGAAGGTCCAGATTGAAATTTATCAAAGTCGCTTTTTACAAAATTCACAGCACAGTTTTATTCGAAGAGATGAAAGAAAAATTAATACAACCAAGGCGCAAAAGTTCACAAAGTGCACTCTGAAATAAATGTGTCGTTACAAACAGCTCCACACAACCTTTCTTCTCCAACCTTCGATATAAATTAAACGCTTTTGGTGGCACTAACAAACTGAATGAAAACTCCCCTGAATCTGTCATTGATTGAGGAAAAAAATCAATAACTATCCGGCACATTGGCGTTTTGAAAGGAACAATACGGCGGACGGTTGTGTATTCAGCGATTTGTCCTGAGATGAGATGAATTGGGAGGCTGCAGCCAAACTTAGGTTTAAATAGACCTCAGCATCCAGACGGCGGCCGCTCTATTGCTCATCCAGCGCGGGAACACACACACACACACACACGGGGGGTCAGGGATTCGGGCCTCATATTTTTCTTGCACTGTTCACAACTCGTTTTATTGATCTGAAACCAAGTACCCAATATTTCAAATGAAGCTGCTGCGGAGTTACGAGAGACGGTGTTGTTCTTGTTTTTGCAATCTGCTGCAGAAACCGCTCACAAGCGTTAGATAACCAGCTGTACAGGCCGAGTCGAGCTCTTTTTCCTCCTGAATGAGACGACATCGTGCCAGTTTGCCGCGCGATTGCACAAAACCGCAACCCCGACGGCATTATAAATCCATATGGAGCAATATTCACGTCATACTTTGGCTTTGTTTGTAATTTGCCCGCAAATTAGCGAGCTTTAAAAGAGGCCTAATCTTGTTTTATCAGCCTGCGTCTCTGTAAAGTCGTGAATCAACTTTCAGAAAGCCCGACTTAAAACGCTCCAAAGAGAGACAAACAGTGAGCGCCGAGCTCTTCTCTGGGAGGAGCTCCAGGATTTAAAGCACACACTGACACAGCCGGAGCTTAAAACTCACCGACTCCTCGCTAAATCTGCCAGCTCGGGATATTTCAAACCTTAAGACTTGGGAGACAGTTTGCAGAACATCGCGAGTTGAGGGGTCAGAATAAAGCTGATGAAGCGCCGCGGCAGTTTCTCGCTAATTAGAGATAACGGAAGTGTGCTCCGTTCCCAGCGTACCTTACACGGCAGACGCTATGGATGTTTAAAATCTGGGCTAATTTTAATAAATTCCGTTGCTGTGCAGCGAATTACACTAATCTCATGATGCTATACAAATACCAAAGCAACATGCAGACTCTCTGTAGAAGTATTCTGAAAATGTAGACTATCTGAGTCATGCCATGTGAGATTTCAAAACAGCACCATGAAGTATAATTAGTTTTACCACAAACTTTAATCTCATCTTTAATATGATTATCTAGAAAAGTCATCTGATACAGTAATTTGCAAAAGAGCCGAATAAAAGGGCTGCTTTCATTCACATCTGTGATTCAATAACTTCATGAATCTTTAAAGTTAAATTCCAATGACATTTTAAGAGCATCTCGCATCTCCTTGATGTTTTTCTTTTTTTAAGTCCTCTTCAGTTTAAAAAAATCAAGCTTCCTTCACCTTGTTAACACCTTGAAACCTTGAAAACTGCAGTGTGCCGACGAC